CTGCTCAGGTCCCTTCCAACCCTAGAAACTATGAAAAAAAATCGCATGCTTCTATTTTTTATATCCTATGAGCCAAGCTCACTGGAAAACCACTTTATCTAAGCAGACACACAGATTAGTAAACTTGGTCTGCATGGAAGCTTTTCTCAGGTCATATGGGACAATGAAAGGGCAACAAAAAACTACAAAGTAATGTGTTAGGGAATGTGGTTTAACATTTACCAGACTTGAAAGGAAGCTTTCCAGATCAGTTCAACAAAATTAAATTAATGCATTCCATTTTGAGAATGTCAAAATGTTTTCTTTTATTTTTAAAGTTAAAATGAAATGTTTTCAGATTTCCAAATAAATTTTTGGGGAATTTCCATTGTGCAAATTTTTATTTTTAATTTCAAATTGTGTCCCATTCCATCACTAAAACTAATGATGACACTGCTGTTTGCTGAATTAATTTATTTCCAACAGTGTTCTGTTTTTTCCATCTTGACAAACACTAGAAATGCCATGCCTTGGACAGGCTGCTTGAGATGTGATCAGAATCCAGAGTTTTAAACTTAATTTGTCACTGGTTATTGTAGTATAGTGTCCAATTGAAGGTATTATTGTGAGCTCAACAAATAATCCTGGCTAAGGTGATAACTTCATTTCTCACCATATTTACTAAATTAAGAAAAACATGACCCATATTCTCAGTGGAAAGAATCTTCTTTACAACTGTCTGCCATTGAGTTTCAGCTGTCTCCATTACAGTCTTGTTTTCCATTTCACTGTCTGTGTGTAGAACATCAGATCTGAAGAATTCCTTCAGTCTTTCAGCATCATCATTTACCTATGGAAATACACAAGAGTCAATTTAAATGCCTCAAATTGCAAAAAGTAAATTACTGAAATCCAGATACAGTGGTAGATTGGAGTAAAACAGTAATAAATCTCTTCCATGTTTTAAATACACCTTCCTCTCCAAAACCTGAACTATAATAAAACAAGCAGAAGTGGGTTCTTGAAACCTATTTGAACTGCTGGGAAATAAGTTAGGGACTGAGGGTGGAAGTTTTGCAGCACACAGCAATACATTTTAAAATTATTAACAATTTCTTCAAGTTCTCTGAGATATCATTACATTATATCAATGTTATAATGCACTTTGCAGCATTTACTGTGAAGTAGCTCAAATCAGCATTTGTCAAACAGAACACCACAAATTATAGACAGAAAAAATTAAAAGTCAAACATTAGGACATAGACAAATAGATGTGATCTAGTTATCAAGCTGTCTTCAGTAGTAACAACAAATAATGGTGATAGCCAAATTTATCTAAAAGATTCATTTCAACCTTTGTTCTCACTTAGATTAAAACACACAAGAAAAATACTGGTTAATACTAGGGCTGTGCGAAGCTTCAGGTGCTTGATTTGATTCAGAGGAGATTTGACCTCATTCAGTGGCCGAATCTCCAAATCTGAATTGAATCAGGGGACCAATTAAAAGGTCTGAGTCAATTTGAAGCCCTCCAGATTGATTTGGAAAAGATTCAGAGAGCTTCAGTGATTCGGGCAGTCCCCCCTGGCTGTAGCAGGGAGCAGGACCTGGACTCCATGCTGGTAAGTGGGAGGAGGGGAGGCTGGAGGAGGGGACCATGGGGGATCCCTGCTAGGCCCCATCCCCTGCCTGCTCCCCCAGTCCCCCTAAGCACTCCCCAACACCTGCCCGCTCTCCCAGCCCTCCCCACCTGGTCCTAGCTCCCTGTTTAAAAGAAAAGCCCCTATTCACTGGGTGCTGCCAGGCGGGGGGGGCAATCCCTGCTGTTCCCCACTGCCCCATTCTGTGTGTGGGGCTCTGCCACAAGCTCCCCAATGTCTGCCTGCTCTTCTGCCCCCCCATGGCTGCCCCACCCCCACAAGGCTCCTGGCTCTTTAAAAAATCCCCAAACCCTGACTCTCCGGTGCCTGTGGGCTTGTGGAGGCTTGTGAAAGAGTCCCCTCATGCAGTGTGGGGCAGCAGGGATTGCCCCGGGCTGGGCAGGAGCTGGTGAGTCTGGGTTGTTTGTTTTTTTTAAAGGGCCGGGAGCTGGGGCAGGAGGGACAGCCATGAGGCGGGGGTGCTGGGACAGCAGGCGGGGGTACAAGGGCTTGTGACAAAGTCCTCCCATGTGGCGTGGGGCAGTGGAAGGCAGCGGAAATTGCCCCCCACCTGGCAGCAGCTGGTGAGAGCTGGGAGCTGGGGCGGGCGGGGCTGGGAGAGTGGG